TTCAAAGAGGAAGGAGAAAGTAGAACATCTGGACAAAATCAAATGAGGACAACCAGAATACGAGTTAGCAGAATTGGCACAGAAGTTTTATTTTGCAAGAATTCCTAGGGTGAGCTCGTTTGCTCCATCACCCTTACCTTTGCATCCATTTATATTTTGGCCTATGAAGGCCCAGGCTGAGAAACATAGTTTGAACCCCTTCCACACCCCCATTATACAAACCTGATCTGCGCTGCCCGTCTGTTTCTGGGTCAGATGCCTGCAGCCAGAGCAGTGGAGGAGCAGTGTATAGGAACAACCTCTCAGAAATAAAGGAATTGAAATAATTTCTGTACAACATTTCACAAGTCCTTGACCATTACTGAAGTGAGATTAATCAATTTTCAATAACCCTGAAGAAATCAATGTACCTGGGGCCTGAGCAGTTTAACCACAGAAACTTGTCAGTTCAGGGGGAAGGCCAGCGCCTTAACAAGCCAGAGTCAAACAAGCAGCTCTGGCTGCAAGCACCACCCCTTCCCCTGCTCTCCGGCTGCTCAAAGGCAGATTTACGGAGCACACCCTCTGGATAACTCTAGATGCAGAAGTGTGGCCATCCACTGTGCAGTCGTAGAGGGGTCTTCTTTGCCCTGACAGGCAGCACAGCGCCCAGGCGAGCCCCAGGCTGAGGGCCTCACACAGCCCCGCTGGCTGCCCTCCCAGAGCAGGGGCTTGTGGTGTGCGCTTGGGGAGTCCGGAGGCTGTTTGGCACTGGAAGCAAACTAATGCAAAACACAGTCAAAGTGCTTTCATGTGAGCTCCCGAGGAGAGGCCAGGGCAGCTGTAAAGAATATGCATGGCCCAGGGTTTGTTTACAAGGAGAGAGAAAGGGCTGTTGTGGGAAATGGCTGCATCACTGTTCCCCTGGTGAACAGTACCTTGTTTATATGATAGTGCCAAGCACAGATACACTTGTGACAGAGAACCTTGGGAACTTCAGAGCCTCCTTTTGATTTTCTTCAAAACCTGAAAAGGGAGAAAGTTGTTTTAAGTTGTACTACTGTCACTGCTACTCAGCCGTTTGAACCTTTTTTTCATCCACTCATGTTTACTTCTCTCAGCAACGGTGAGTTTCTAGGGTGTATTAGAAACATCACAGGCAATGCCAATGCTTGAAATTGAGCAGCTGAGATCACTTGGCTTGTTCAGTCTGGAGAAGGAGAGACTTGACAGGAGAACCTCATGCTGGTCTACAGCTTCCTCGCAAGAGGAAGTGGAGAGACAGGCACTGGTGTCTCCTCTCTGGTGACCAGTGACAGGACCCAAGGGAATGGCATGAAGCTGTTTAGAGGGAGGTTAGGTTGGGTATAAGGAAAAGGTTCTTCACCCAGAAGCTGGCTGTACACTGCAACAGGCTCCCCAGGAAAGCGGTCGCAGAACCAGGACTTCCAGAGTTCAAGAAGCATTTGGACAATGCTCTCAGGCACATGGTGTGATTCTTGGGTCTGTCCTGTGCAGGGCCAGGAGCTGGAGTTTGACGATCCTTATGGGTCCTTTCCAACTCAAGATATCCACGATTCTGTGAAATTCATGCTTGTGTCTTTGGGTGGGTGTTTTACTACCAAAGCTATGTGTGATGTGATAATAGTTGTATTTGTAGCAACTTTTGTTGTCTGCAATTTTCCCTCTTTTAATGACACATTCATAAGTACTATTCCAGACTCAAATAAAAAGTATTTCTGTTCTTGTTTGACGAAAAAGTATAACTGTTCTTTTTTCATAAGAGCTTAGTAAGCATAGTACATTGTGTGAGCCCAGGAGTGTAAGAACTACTGGCTTTTCTATATATACTCTGTGAATTTAATTTACCTTTTCAGATTAGTTTTATTCCCTGTAGCTATGTCCTGGACTCCTCTGAGGTAATTATTTTTGATGACTCCACTAACGCCTACTGCTGAAGACAGAGATGATCTATTTCAGACTCCTCTGCTGAATGAATTTAGCCAACAATCCACTCACGACTTTGGTAGATGTTTTTGCTTTCTTTCTTTCCTTCAGGCCAGTAAAAACTTTATAAATCTTCACTCTACCATTCCAGAAACGTGAGAACTTTCCCCCTCGACACCTGAAACATCTCACTGACCTTGTCTGCATACAGTAGAATGTGTTTGTATATACTACAGACCCCTGAGTTTAAAATTAACAAAACCTCAACATTTAGTCTTATAAAATCTTGATTTAGATTAGACCAGGATACACAAGATTAGGTTTTCTTAAGAGTACTTACTCCTGGTGCTCATATACCCACAATTCAAAACCTGTCAACTTGATTACCCATTGTAACAATTCCAAATATTTACGTTGGTTGTCCCTGCTGTTTATATAACATTGTGTCTTCCCTCCTTAGTATGCGCACTAGTAGCTATGAAGTCAATGGACTATTTTCATTGATGTCAGGAGATGTTAGCCAAAGGTTCTATAGAAAACGCATGGGATCCTGCTCCAAATCAAGCCTGAGGCATGTTCATTACGATCCTTCCTTCGTCTCCATTTCAAGATGCTAACTCATTCCTTGATCTACTCTCTTGTTGAAGAAGACCAGAGGCTTCAAAGAGGTTACTTCAGACTCCCTTTTCAAATGCTCTTTAAGGATTGTCCTTCTTCTGTTTGTTGGAACTAGAAAGCATTTCTATATGTTGATTATTTTGAGGGAAAGAGTGAGGTGAACTGATTATTGTAGTCCCGCTTTCTCTAGACTAGTGGACACATAATTTTTTGGAACTGAGTTTTGCTAAGAAGCCAAGGATTAATGGGTTATAGAGACTAAATTATCCTTTCACTTTATAATTTATTAGAAAATGTCATGGTGTTGTAACCAGAGGCTGTTAGAAGCCTTCATCATGATGAATAATTATGACATGATGCAACATGTCTGAGGAGAAACTTTTGAAATTGCTCTGATGTGAATAAATAAAATAGAGATTAGTATTCCAGAAAAAAAAATATAAACTCAGAAAATTGCAAATGAAGACTGGCATAAAGTTTTGTGGTGGGTTTTCTGGGGTTTTGGGGTTTTTTGGTGGTTTGTTTTTTTTTTTTAAATTGTGAAGTTGTTGGAGTTTTTTCAAGGTAGTAGCATAAGAATTTTTTTTTCATCTTGTTAGTATAGTGCTAATTGCAGCTTATTTACATCCCCTATAAAATAAAATTCCCATCAGGGCAATACTCTATTTCAATTTTCTTCACAAAGCAGTGAGATGGTGATCTCTTTCTTCTGTCAATCTCCTTGTCATTCCTATCTCAAGTACCATTCTTTGTCTTCTGCTTCTTGATAAGCCTGCAAGTTGTCTATGCAGAATTAGCAATATTTGATTTGGCAAATTTGCATTGTACTCCTTGGACATCTTGCTATCTTGTACCTTCCTGAGTATTTTCTGTTTTCTGTGCATTCTCTGCAACTGCAAATCCCAAATGCTTGCATGGATGAAAGGTTAGTATTAGTGGATCTATGTGGTAGATTCATTCAGGTTCTGTCTTGTGCTGAGGAACAGCCATTAGTGTAAAACTCACAGAAATGATAAAAATTATGAACACTGACCATAAAAGTCACCACCCCACAAAAGAGTAAGAATAGCTTGGTTAGGACAACAATAAAATTTGCCCATTCCTGCAGCCACAACAGCAAAATATAATCAAAATGAAATTTTTTTTGCCTTCTCTTCTTTTAACCCTTTTGAAAGAAAATGCTTAGGCCTGTGGCTTTGCTGCAAGATTTACTGATAATTCACATAAACCAGTGTCTGGTTTATCTGACTTTTAGAAGGACTGAGTACTTGGAACTCAAGTTTTAGTTTGCAATAGTTACGGGAAATGCCTACTCCTGAACAGAAGGGAATTCAAGTCAGGAGCTGCTTTGTAAACCAGTATACTTGTCCTAGTAATGATGGAAATAGTAGTAATTCAGGTGACAGCTGTAATGAGAGTGCCATTTCCTTCCTTATAAAACACCAAAAGGTGGAAATAATCATTTGACACATGCAAAGAGGACTGCAGTGGGATGAGATACCTGTGTTAGCTTATTACCCTTAAGCACCTATTTTATTAATAATACTGCTGTAAGCATTGTGCCTAAACTATCAATCCTCTATTAAGACTGAGAGCAGACAGCCAAAGCTGTAGGGGTCTCTCAACATTTTGAAAGGCACATCCTACAGGACAGTATGCCCACTGGGGGACACCTGGGCAGCTAATAACCTTCAAATTGTCCTCTCTAGGTCACTTGTCCATAGGTCACGACTCCCTTAGTTCCTCAGCAATAGCCTGACCACTTCCACCTGTAGCAGGTTTTCCTAGGCATGACCTAGGCATGTTGTATTTGAGAAGTTTGATCCCATCTTGGATTAATGGGAGTTTTATCTCTGACACTCATGAGGCAGAGTTGAAGTTTTGATGATCTGTGAGAAGCAGCAACTGCTTCTGTATTGTCTATCTCAGGCTTTTTGAAACGATTATCTAGGGAGGGCATAGGTGCTCTTGACACAGGGAATGGGTACGTAACATGAAAAAGTTCTGCTTCTTCACATCTACCTTGTGGAGAAGAACGCTCCTTTAATGATTTTGTAAATAGAAACAACAGCAGAAATAAGTCCAAACCTTTAATAGCTGCTCAGATTTTAGGTTGAGTGTTTGCGAATCTCCTAAGCCCCTGCAAGTGTTTTCTGTGTCTGTCTAGCATAAGAAACTAGCAGTATTCTACCATTAACATTGTTACTGTAATCCTGTATTATTTGTCCATGTTTTACACGGCACTGTTCTGCTCCCTAAGGAGTAGACTTTGGCTAGTGTTGCATTCTCATCAGTGAGGGATGACTTGTGCATCTGGGTTTTACATCAGAAACGCTCTCATTTGTGTGAGGCTCATTCAGAAAATGGACTGGTTTTTCAAAGGTGGGACGGTATAGTTTTTATACCAATGGAGTGGCAAAGGACTTAAGTTAATGTGTCCTTGTTTCTGGTTGCAGGAAAAGACATCAAGACAGAGCACATGCGAAATTCTATCTGTGTAATGAAGAATATTCTTTGACTATAATGTTTCCAGTGTAAACTACTGAACTTGCAAACACCAAGTTGTGTGGGAGATAAGCCAAGGCGATGAAGTTCATGCAAGATGAGGAAGCACAGAGACCGTAAACACATTACCTTCTATTAAAGGAAACATGTGTTGTAAAGATATAGGCTCTTGTCTTTTATTTTGGTAAGAATAAGCTTGTTTTTTTCTGATACAGGTGGCAAATTCTCCAAGGAAAACATCTACAAGAGAGCAGAGGTAGGCCAGAACATTTAACAAATGCCTCATTATCTGTTGTCTTGAAATTGGTGGCAAAACTAGCTTTTTTAATGGCCTAAGAGTTTATCCCAGGTGTTTTGCTACCATAGTGACAGCCTTATTCACACGTGTAGAGAGCAGTTGGTTTAAATTAAGAACTGTTGTTATCAAGGTGCAGTTTTGAAACCAAAGGACAGCTACAGTTAAATGAATTAAATGTAAGTATTACAAAAAATATTTCCCAGTACACATTCTAGATGTAGACTAATACTTGACAGGATATTGCAGGCATATTACAGATCACAATAAATATAGCAGAAGTACATATAATACAAACAAGTTTTACCTTCAGAAACTCATGTCATCTAAGCCCACAAGGCTCAGTGAGCACACTAATAGAAACCGAAATAAATGTATAAATTCACATACCTATACCAACTGTCTGTAGGGCAAACGCTGAATAAACATACTATTAGAACAGTCCATTTGTTATAAAACTATGCCAGATACCAAGAATGGTAGATTTTCCTGTAGTTTCCTTCACAAAGAGACTGCATACAAAAGAAAACTGTTTCAACTTCTGTATTGTGGGAATATCCTAAGTTTTTATCTCTTTGTGTGCTAATTCAACAAGTACTAGTATCTGTGCTGATCTTTTTCTTTACTACTTTTCAGAAAAAGCCTGTCCTGAGTTAATTTATTCTCTTCATTTGAGACATTGATGGATGGCACTGAGAGTAAAATGAGAAAACTGGGTAAATTTGGGAGCTGCTGTTATCTTCAATATGTTTTTAGCAATGCCTTTCATGAGAATTTTAGATCTTCATGACTTTGAAAATAGAGGTGATAAACCAGGTAAGTATAGTGAAAACTTGAAATAAAAGTGGAATTTTAATTTAGTTTGGAGATGACCATTTAGACTAACATATTTTAAGATTTTGTACTAATTAGGTTTATTTTCACGTCTAGTTGTAAAAATTATACATAATGCTGAATCTTACCATCAACTTCTGAAGCCCATGAGAAGTGAAATTTACACTGGTGCCTGTGGCTGTTCAGCTCAACCCATGCAAGCTATAGAAACAGATTTGATTTTTTTTTTTTTTACGATTATGGCCACAGCTATAAACTGGGTAATTATTTTTGGAGGTGCAGTTTTTGTGAGGTAAGTGAGTCTTATTGACAGATCTGTTTCCGTATGATTTTGATACATAGTGACTTTGCACATGCCACTTGTGACTTTTCCATTGCAGTTACTGGAAACTGGTTTTTATTTCTTAGTTGCTTTTTGAGACAAAGACAGTTATATTTATTTCAATTTTAAAATAAAACCGAGGTGTTTATATCTTTGAATATGTTTACTGCCTCAGTTGTGAAGTCATTTAAATACAAACAGTACTAGGGAGCATACTGGAGTATCAGACAAAACCAAAAGTATTTTGAAAGATCAATTGAGTTTTTTAAGCTCAAAAGCATCTATTTGATTCAAATCATACAATGTCTGACTGTGATATCATTAAAACAAATATCCCAAATGAACCATCCCTCACCCTTCATACCAAAGGGGTGACATCATTTCTGCATATTGTATTGATAGTTTTTGTCATTCAGTACAGAGGTCAGGCAAGTAAGCTGGGAAAGCAAGTTGTGTTCCAAAAGGCCACACCAAGTCCCAGCATGAGCTTTTTATTTTCTTTGAATGTAAGATCATAAGAAATTAACTTTTAATCTGTGTTGTCCACCTGTGTTTACTGTAGCTAGGGGACCTATTGCTTTCCTATTGCTATTCTGTCTATTTAAAGGCAAAATGAGAACAGAAGAGTATATGGGAATACTCCTAATAAGGCAGATTTGGGTGAAAGGAGCCTGTACATTGCCATCCCACACTGCTGTAGCTTCTGAGCAGACTGCTAGTTGCTTGACTGGCTAATTTTATACTGTGGTTCTCACTCTAGGCTATGGCTCCTACAGCACTGGTCTCATACTTTGGATGTTGTGGAAAATGGCATTTGCATTGAAGTCAGTGATAGCTGAGTGCATACACTGCAGAAAATAAACACAAACATTGCTTTCATTGTCTCTTCCTTCCTCTATTATGTATGCTAAACTTCTGCTATTGTTGTTTTTTTGCTCACAGAGATACCAGGAATACCACTGGAAATTGTCTTCCAGCTCCTTCCTTGAAGGAAGGACAAGGAATCAGTTTTTTATTTTTATGTTTTTAATAGTGGAAGAGTACCAAGTCACAACTCTGAAACTTGTTCTACTATGAAAATAGCCCTGCTGAGAACATAGCATGGCTTTGTTTTGCCTTTCCACAGAAAAAATCAAGAGGATGATGAGCAAATGGAAAAATATGTTTAAAAAAAGGGTCTTTTTCTTATAATATCTTGCACATGTTTATACTTAAAAACATTTGCACTAGATAGGTGTCTTTTATTAAGATATGTCCTAAAACAACCCATTCACTGAACAATACATAATAGTCACACTAAACGCTATCTGCTTTTATCATAGTAGCAGCAGAATGAATCTGACAGTGCTTGTACAACTGTTTGCAAAGGAACGTATGCAAATTCAGGCTCATGCCGCTTGCCAGACACAGAGTGCTTTCTTAGTGGTGAGAAAAATTAGTTTCCATTTTTATGCAGATTTTCCTGCTTATTGGCTATAGAGCTCTTATGTTGTATTCGGAGGGAATGCATCTTAAGCACTGGAGAGGCTTTGCATTACTTCCAGATACTGCTGAGATATGTGGGGGGGTGAAAGCAGTCAGAGAGAGAAATTAATGTAATTTTGTACTCTCTTCTCTGTATTTCTTCATGGATTGAAGAAGCAGTGGGGGAAAAGAGATTTTGGCATCTCTAGTTTAAATCGTATATTTCTCAGACCACTGTTATTCATACAGCTTTGTATGTAAATGTGTTCCTCATTGTGTCTAGCAGACGCAAAAACCCCAACAGAACCATCTCAGATTGCACTGTGTGGTACAGACTGTGAGGGAATGATGAACAAAAGTTTACCATAGAATGAGTTCTTTGCTGTTGGGACATTCTGTTTTGTGGTATAGTAGATGAGAGTAGAAGAAAATAGGAGAGGAATAGAAAGTCTGGCTTTAAAAGGTCTTTCAGGAGGATTGTCTGTTCATCTTACAGCTCATCTTTCGGAATACTGTCCTGGGATGTGAGTTCATGTTTCTTTTCCTCCTGAAGGGATTTCAGTCACATCTTCTGAGAGATGCTATCACCTCCTAATGTGTCAGAGATGAGAGTCTTTCCCAGGCTTCGGCAGGTTCCTGGGTCCTGCCCACTGGAACTGCCCCATCAGTACTGAACAAGAGGGGCCTCAGCTTTTACTCACTCCCCTGGGAAGCAGGACTGTCAGGTTCCGTGTTGTGCTTCCTATTTCGGATAGAGCATACACCAAAAATTCAGGTAACTGTGCCACGTACACCTGTGCTCAGAGCTTTTCCTTGAAAGTTAGAAATACATCTTGAAGTTGTCTCAAGAAGAGGAAGGAACTAGATTGAGATTTCCAGTATTTGGGAGGAGGGTTTGTGTGCACAAGTGGGGTAAAAAGAAGTTATGTGCAGTAACATGCTTCTGTGATATTCCCTGGCTAGTCTACAGCCAGGTAAGTTTTGGATAGGAGATCTGGAATGGGAATCTAGAAGAGTTTTTTCCTGCATGACTTCACCACGTGAAAGCATTTTTTGGTATCATATTTCTAATTTAACAAACCTTTTGGGTTTATAATTGTCTTTGAGTCTTTTAACCTATGTTTAGCTTTGTCTGAAATGTTTCTACAGCCCCCCAAACCTTTGGGAGTGAGAAATATGATGATATAAGCTTGGTTTTCTGATAAAACCAAGAACCTTCTCTTCTACCTCTCCTACTTCTGTTGCTGTAATTCTCTTTTTATTTTTCAAAAGCCTGTAGCACTTTTGGGGTGGGGGGTGGCAGTGGGGGAAAGTATTCATTTGGCTCTACTGCCTATAGAATTTAAAAAAAACCCCAAACTTCTTATTTTTAGAAGATATTTACAAATTACTCATAGATTATGTGATCTTCTGAACAGCATCACAAGCTAATTATTTCAGGGCAACACAAAATTCCTCAGGTTTATTTGCATCTTCTTTTTTTGGCAGATTTCAAACAAATGCACCACACTCAGGTATGTCATTGATGAAATTTAAATGCTCACTATATTTTAATAGGAAGACACTCTTTTGTCCCTTTTCTATTATTAGTGATTAAACAAATTTTGTTTCCTTAAACAAGATCTGTTACAGTATAATTCTAAGATAATTTCTACTGATGCAAACTCCCCAAGTGATTAGCAGACTACATTAGAAACCACTCATCAGTACTGTCCCTTTGTTTGGATTTCAGTAGTAGCTTTACATAGCTTTATGTAGACTGCTTCAGTGGAATCTGCTTTTGCATTTTAATTTTTAAAAAATTTGTATGCTGGAAAACACATAATATGAATAACACTAAATTAATTCTAAATTACATAACAGTTACAATATGTAACGTAATTAAAATGATGAAGATAGCTTATCCTTTTGTGCACTATATATATATGTGGGTTTTTTTGCTTAAGAAGTCCTTTTGGTATTGTATTTTTAATTCCCTCACAAAAACATTGTTGTTTTTCTAAATTTATTTTGAATATAGAGAATAGATATAGAAACCATCTGCCAGGTGATAAAAAGATAGACTTCAAAAAAAAAGTGTGGTCCCCTTCACTCTTTATCACCCTCCTTCTTATTGCCATAAGTACTATGAATTTCATTTACCTGCAGTTTAAACTTTCCCAGGCCATATTTTCGGTTTGTTCTTTTG